ATCCATTTAGAGTTGTCTTGCAACGGCTTACAAAAGTATTGAAGCACATGAATCTGGTTTTGTCACACTAATGCCAGCAGTGTATTTTGTAAAATTGCCAGAAGTAGTATCATATCTGCTTCTGCACCAAATGCAATAGTTGGCGTACCAATGGTGGCTGAGAAATCAATGGCCGGGGTTTGATTCAGAGCTACTGCTGTAGTGAATGTTGCATGATCGTGAAAATACTGAACCTCCAGCTGTGGTTGAAAAGAAATTGTTTTTTAATCATTAAGGCATTAAACATTATGCAACAACTTAAGGCCAAGGAACAATGAAGTTAATACCTTGCCAGAGTTATAATCAGGTACTTTGAACGAAGCAACAGTCTTTGTGGATGGAAGGAGCTCAGTTAATGTGACAGTTGTTGAAATCTATTAAAACAGAGTGGCATATCAGGTGCTTATACAAACAGCTCAATTCACTGATAAATAATTTTTATAAGGAACAAGTCTCACATTGGATTCTGTGTCAACTTTGACATCAAAAACAGTTTTCTTGTATTTGTACTGGGCAGCAACATCTCCTGTTGAAAGCCCTCCTTTCTTTAGAACTGTGGATGTGAGGGCCTGGATAAAGAAAGAAACAAATAAAAGATTATGATTAAAAAATGGCCCAAATATGGTGGTTTACTACTACAACAGATTTCCAACCACAGTGTTTAGTCTTGACTGTATGATATAGTTCTAAGCATGCTAATTTATAATATTTTCTTACTTTGATGGCCTACCAAGAATGGTTCCTGACCCAAGCAACATATATAATACAAACCCAAAAAAATACATTGCAATTGTCCTAGTCCAACTGCAACATCCTAAAGTAGAATTCAGAAAGGTTGGGCATGCATGCTCAACAAAAGAAGTGTTGCACAAAATACAACATTCAGCTAATATTACCAATAGAAACAAAAATGAGAATTAATGACAAATAGAAGGATCCAACCTCTCACCAGATAAAAGAGAACATGAACCAAAATTATTAGAAGACAACTACCTTAACCCAGAAATCATGGACTATATTAAAATTCTACTTGCTCTCTCCATTGTTCTCAAAAATGCCTTACTTTCCCCCAAACTGCTCTTCATTGCTCTTTTTTTCATGATAATAAACCATCTCACTAATTTTCTTTTCTTTTGGTTTAAGAAAGTATTTTATCCAACCAGTAATGCATCTGAATTTCAAATAAGTTATTCCCTACCTCTTTCAACCTATATGACTTTCTAATGCTCATATGGACCTCACCATTATGAATAAGCAAGGTTTTTCTTGAAAACGAAAGCATTTAAAAGAGAAAGAAACACAGGTAAAAAGTATCGTATAACAAATATTGTTGGTAAATTTCATGAAAACATCTGTATATTTTTTTCAAGATTACTCATTCTCCTAAAATAACTCTAGTTTAGACTACGGTTTGGAGTTGGAAAACATGAATTCTGGAAAAGAAAAAATATGAATTCATTTCCAAGCTAAAGTCTTTTTTCATATTCTAAATATAAAAAATACACAAGAATTCATATCCAAATTAACGTCTTTCTTCATATTCTAAATCTAAAAAATTACAGACCTCTCATTGCGGAACTGACAATAAGTAATGCACCCAGATTCAGTCACAATTAACAAAGCAGCATCAACTCAATGACCAAAAGCAAATGACTACGAAATGGAGCCCAAAATCTTGGAACCACGACATTAATCCCCCTCCCCCCAGAAAAAAAAAAAAAAAAAAAAAAGAAAGCTAGTATTGATGTTTTCTTTCCCAGCTAAGAAACTAAACTAATGATTAATGATCTATGTTACTGCAATTTCCTCCCCCACTCAAATGAAACATTAACTGACAAGCATTATATCATCCATTTTTACTACCTCCAAACTATGAAGAATTAGATTTCTGTACGTACCACTCCTGAATCACTGTAAGTCGTGACAACGAATTTCTGATCTGAGCTGTAATCTCTCGTGAGAAGATCTACATATACCAAAAAGTTAACAGTTAGAGCAAATCAGTTCACGAGCACGTGCGTTTACATCGACACACCCCAAAATCCCGAAACCAATAGCACCGGAAAATGAGAACGAGAGAGATCAGCAATTACCTTTAGCCTTTTTGCCGATATCGGCGAACAGTCCCGGTCCCTTGCTCATGTTTGCAGAGAGAGAGAGAGAGAGATCTGTGGAGGTTTCGGAGAGAGCAAGCGGTGGAAAAGAGAAATGAGAATGGAAGGGGTTGTTTGGTGGCCGAAGTGAGGATTAAAAACTGGCCCAAAAGTGGGGTGTGATTATCGGCTGTGACGTTTGATCAGTAACAGACTGTTATAGACCGTTGATTTCTTTTGATTGGTTCCTGATTCGTGGGTCAATTATTTGATGTCGTCCATGGCATGATCATTGACTTTCTTGATTGTAGAATTACGAGTGTTGATGTACTGCAAAGCTAGGCTGGAAAATTCGTGTTGTGAACTGCCTCGTATGATTTATAGTTTGAAAAAACTTAATTGAATTTTTTACTATAAATTATTTATTTCGTTTAAAAATATCATAATTTTAAATTATATATTTCGTTAAATCAAGTCTATAATACATGTGAACGAGGTTTAATTTTTTAATTTTCATAACAAGTACATAAATTTTAATAATTAAATCATTACATTTGTAGTACGCATTTGTATTCTTTTAAGATCGCGTGAGGTAATTTAACCCGGGAGGCAATTAATTATTATTTTTTAGATTGGATTAATGGGATAAAAATGAATTATTAATTTAAATTACTTTATTTTAAATAATATTTAATTTTTTATTAAAATTTATGTTATACTTTAAATAATAAGTAAATAAAACAAATAATTTAAAAAAAAAATTGTAGCTACAAGAGAACGGCATGTAAATAATAAAAAATCAATACAACTAATGAAAAATACGATATACGAATGTTATATAGTTTGGTCCAAGAAACACCAACGATGTCCTCACGAAGATCAAATATCAGGTAATCGACACCTCTGTTACTTTTTTCGATATGTATGTTGTATTTTTACAATTCAATTTTTTATAAGTCAAATACTAATAGCAGGTTGGAGTTAGTATTTATGACAACCGTCTCATTATTAATCACGTTGTTCGGTAATTAAACAATAATGTTACTATCCGTATCCGGGATAATACGGCGCGATCCGAGATTCCAAACAAGCTCAAAGCCTTCCAAGGGCTCTCCATAACTCTCGCAATTAGAGAACTATATTTTTATTAACAGAAGGGGCATGAAAATAAACAAATCGCATTCTGTACCTGTTTCTAATTGTTATTAGAAAATAGGCCCATAATGTGTGGAAACTGCCCATGGGCCCCAACGACCCACTAAGTCTCAAGTCATCGGACTTGACCCAGTGATCCAACTATTCTTGGTTTGGTTGGAACAAGAGAGCAGTTTCCTAGGTTGGAAACATGTCAACAAGGTTTCTAAATAATAAAATAAAAATAAAGTGGTCGTTAATTTTTTATTGGTCAATTTTTTTTCTAGGACACCGCGTACGATGCGCGTAATGAATTTTTCACGTGACGTTTTTCTCTTGATAATAAGAATTTAATTATTTTATACAGTAAAGTATTTAGAAGAAAATATAATGTTAATTTATGTAACAGTTTTATATGATTATTTTATGTTATGATGATTTAGATATCAACGTAAATTTTACATTTAAAAAAAAACAACAGTAATTACTTCCTTTAAAAAACTTTTATGGAAATTAATTAGTGAAATAAATAATTGAAGGGAGCCATTAAAAATTGACTTTGACCCGAATAACTCGTTCTCTTCTTCTTCAAATTAAACGGGAAAAGCAGAGAAAGAAGTCCGCTAACGGGAGCTCACCTCGGATCATCGCAGGCTTCTTCTCTTTCTTCTCAGCCTCCACTCCTTTTCGATTCTCTTGCATTCACTACCAACCCGCAAACATGCAGTTAATAGACCGAGAAAGGTAGAATAAACAAACACCGAAATCTCAAAGCGTCTTTTTCGTCTTTTTCTGGTTTACATTTGCTCTGTAGCTTCCTTCTTGGATTCCTGAAGCTTCCTCCTACTGTCTTCGCGCCTTCTGATCTTTTCCTTCGTTGTTCTGATATAACACGCTTGTTCTCAATGGAGAAAACGCTACTTTTTTAGGTACTTATTTAGAAAGGAAAAAAAATAATAATAAGAAGAAGAAAGAGGATAAGCAGGAGGAGAAAAACTGGAGGGTTTGGATCCAGAGGGAAGGTGGTGATGGAGAGTTACTTGAATGAGAATTTTGGAGGAGTGAAGCCTAAGCACTCCTCCGAGGAAGTGTTGCAGAAATGGAGGAATCTTTGTGGAGTGGTGAAGAACCCAAAGCGGAGGTTTCGATTCACTGCAAATCTATCAAAGCGTTACGAAGCCGCTGCTATGCGCCGAACCAATCAGGTCATCTTCTTGTTTCATTGCACAAATCTGTATTTGACGACTTCTGTGGTTTATATTTACTTTACTTTGTCGAGATTTGTTGAAAGGTGAGCTAAAAAGTAGCTATTGATATATTATTTTACTCCCAACAAGATTGAAATCTTAAGAAAAATTTTCCCCTTCTTTTGTTCGTTTTCAAATTTTGCTCTTACTTTTTACCAATCGGAAACAATAACAATTTTTTCCTTTGGCTAACCAGAGCTTAATTTGGTATTCTCTGAGTTGATTTTAAAGTGGGTATGTTAGTTTCTGCCATGAATGTCAACTTGGTAGTTAGTATATGGAACTTACTTCCCTTGCGCCTGGTGTGTTGCAGGAGAAGTTGAGGATTGCAGTTCTTG